AAAAGTCATAAGGGGAAGCAATGGCGCTCATTCTTTATGAAAATTAAATCTCATGGAAAGAAATGTTTTTCCCTCATTACTGAATCCAGAGTCTCTTGAACATTTTTAACATAACTCAGAAATACTTACCTGAGTCCCTTCAGAGTTGTTGTGAGGATCATAGAACTGCAGGAACTTTAATTTTTGGAAATATAGGACACTGTATTTTCTTTGTCAGAGGTTACAAAGGAAATCAAGGAGTCTCTCCACCTACAGATTGTCATTCGTTGTTCCTGACAGTTCTTCTCATGAAAATCAAATCTAGGCTCTCTGCTCGATTAAAAAAATGGGGCAATAAAAATGAAAATGTGCAAATATAAAGTTCTTGAGAGGAAGTGAAAATGTCCAGATAATATTTCTGATTTTATTTTAAATATTCCATCAACATGAGAAACCACAAGCCCCCTGAACAGAAGATGTTGATGTGTGTGGGATATGAGTAGAGACATCAGGGGCAATTAAGAATCACCCCCCAGCCCGAACTACTTCTCTTCTATGATTAATTTGTTGGAAATGTTACATTTCAGACATCAGGGCTTTCAGCAAAATGGAAAAGGTTTTTTGCTGTTTTCTTTGGTCCTCTGGTATTTTCTTTGTCCTGAGCAGTAGCTCTTTTGATCTTGGTAAATTGTCTTCTTCTGAAACTATTTAGACAGTTTAAATAATTCACAATTCAGAAATGAAACCTAGGGAGGATTGCTTTTGCCATTCTCTTTTCAAATAAATGAGGTAGTAACTTTGTACTTGCAGAGAGAGAAAGTCCATACCTCTTCTCTACCCTGGGCTTCTTGACCATTGTACAGGTTTTTTGGTCCAGTTAATTTAAGAATGAAGCAGTGGGCCCTGCCCCTGCCCATTCAGCCATACAACAGGTCAGTGTCAGACCCTCTCTTTTCCCACATTTCAGGCATCTGTTTCTATGAGCTTAGGAAGCCAATCCAGGTGAAGATGATGATGCTCTTTCTTTTCTTTCTGGAAGATGGGCTTAGAAGCGTGACTGTTCTATCTTCTAGGACAGCAATTATTGTTCCCCAATGGCCCTGCTATCCCAACTCCTTGGCTATTTTAATGTTACATGTTTTTAAATATAAGATACTTCTAGTTTTTGTTTTATTTTTGAGTGCTTTAGGAAAAATATTCTTAGGAAACGGATTGGTTTAGATACAACTGATCAGCAGTCCATCAAGTAAGAGTATTTTCGCTTGGCAGATAATGCAGCTGATGGAAACTGAAGTGACCCTAGATGTCGCTTAAAAGTGTGGAAATTTTACACAGGATTTAAGTAGGTGACAGTGCCGATATTCAACAGCTGTTAACTTACAGAATTGGCAATTTCATCTTGTGCAGCCTGAGCTTATAGATAGCAAGGCCTCAATAGCATTGTGAAGATCCTTTAAAAAGGAGAAATGGAGGTAGCTTCCATGCTATCAGAGAGAAGGGATCACTCATGCTGCAATTGGAAAGCTATTTGTGATACAAACAATTATTTTAATGAGAGCTCTTTTATTTTTATACTTTGTATCATGACCTTGGCTTTCTACTTCATTTTGTTCATGGCCCAGCCCCACCAATAGGACATGGGTCCAATAGCTCACATGTCTATCATGAACCATATTGGAACTTACCTTGTTCCTTTTCTCCCTCCCACCAACATTTTAACTATGTGTAAAGATAGCTACCACTATTTGTATTTTTTATTTGAACAGGAATAAGGTGATAGTTGCTAAGTAATTTTATATGTCCCAGAATGGACTTCTGGGGAGCTCACCTCTCGACCTATCCCACTTCCTGTTGTTCTCCACTTTTGTCAACCCCTTGTTGGGGACAGGCCCATCGATAGCACTTGTTGGAAGTGTTGATCACCGCCTGGCAGCCATACCTTCATGTTTCTGGTTTAAAACACTTAAGGTGGAGTGACTTGTTTTTATCCTGCGTCCCCAGAAACTTCACAATGGCTTCTTCCATACACAGCAGACATCCTTTACAGCATTGTCCCAAAAAAACCAGGAGTCAGTCCTGATTCCCTGTCCTGACTTTGCCACCCCATGATGCTAACCTTTCTAAGTCACTTATCTCTAGTCCTTCATTTCTTTAACTCTAATGTTAGATAGTTGAATATCATAGTCCTATGACTAAATGCCTAAAAGTCTTTTAAAATTGACCTTTTCTAAAATCTGAATAACAGGGTTGCACATAATTTATACAGAATTATTTCACAAGCTGAATATTAATAGCACAAAGAGTTAGCCTCCATCTGTGCCTGGGGAGGGAATACCACTGTTGACTACGAGGAAATTTGAATGCATGCTCCCCACCCAGTTCAGCTGCCTAAAGTCCTTTTATTGCGCTATTCTGATTGAGCGTGTGAGTGTGACTGTAAATTTCCCCTGACAGAAACCACATCACCTCATCAGCCACATAAGAAAATGACAAAACAGCCAACTGTGAAAACGTGCTTCCCAGGCTTTCAGCATCACTGCGTGGGGGAGAAGCTCATTTGTGCAAGATGAAATTGAGGCTGGGTGAAGCCCAGAAGACAAGCTCTAGTGTTATCTGACTTCTCTGAGCTGCCGCACATGGGAAGTGTGTTTGTGCCAGTGAAGCTGGGTTCTAGAAAACCCTTTGCTACTTGAAGCCATGTCTTCAATCCATTGGACGGGGAGAGGTGGCACAGGGGAGTGTGGCATGCTGCTTTCGTAGTAATTACTAGATCTCTAACAACTCATATATAGCTAAGGTCCATTCACCCTTCTCACTAAATCTTCACGGAAACCTGATGAAGTTTAGTTTTCTGTGGGGGGTTTTTTTAGTGGAGAATATTTGAGCACAGAGAAATACAGCTAGTTAGCTTGTAAGCGGTCAAGCCAGGATTCAAACCAAGTCTGTCCTACCTTATTTCTCACGGTCTTTCACTTTATCTTGAACCGATTTTAAAGTTGAGTGTCAGCAATGAAAGTGAAACACTGGTGAGAAAAGGAGAAGAGGAAATCCACCCCTTGGTATTAGCCCAACCCACTCCAGTGTTTCTCTGCTTTTTCCACCTTCATTGAACTTTTTAGAAGGACTATGAAGTCATCAAAAATACCTTTAAGAAAGTAAAAAGGGAGCATTATTCTTACTAATGAAAAGGCAGACACCTAATTTAAAAAATGGACAAGAGATGAACAGATACTTCCTATAAATGACTAACCAGTCAGTGAGCATATAAAAAGATGTTCAACATCATTAGTCATGAGAAATGCAAATGGGAACCACAATAGAAATGACCACATACCCACCAGAATTCTTAAGATGGAAAAGATGACAGTAGTACCAAGTGTCGTTGAGGATCTGTCGCATTTTCAACTCCCAGTCACTTCTGGTAGGAGTGTCAGTTGGTAAAACCACTTTGGAAAACTATTTGATAGTTTCGAGTATAGCTGAAGACACATACCCCGAATGACCAGCATGTCCACTCCTAAGAGTATGACCAACAGAAATGCATACATACGTTCATCAGAAGACCTATATGAAAATGTTCATAGCTGCACAATCCCTAATAGCTAAAAACTGGAAACTAACAAAAAGCCCAATAACAAAACAATGAACAAATAAATTGTGAAATGTTCACATACTGGAATACCGTACTGCAATGAAAATGAGCAAAGTATTGCCACACGTAACAATATGGTTGGATCTCACAAACATGATATTGAGCTAAAGAAGGTAGACACAAAGAAGTTCAAATGTATGATACCATTTACATGAAGTTCAAAACTAGAAAAAACTAAACATTAACTTCTGCAAAGGATGAGGAGTGCTTGGCAGGGAGTACGTGTGGTTCCTGGGGTGCTGGCAATGTTCTGTTTCTTCATTTGGGTGCTGGTGACTCTTGTTCAGATGTGGAAAATTCATCAAGTTGTTTCCCTTGTGATATGTGCAATTTTATGTATGTATATTATACTTTAATACTATGTTTTAAAAGTATTATATATACAGATGCTAGTCTTTAATTTTTGACTCCCACTGTGGCAATATAAATTTAAATCAACTTAGCAATTTGCATAGGCATCACATTGGAATTTTGTGACATACTGTGCCCTATACTGTGGGAGAAATGTTCATTTTTTTCTTGATAATGCTTCATTGGCTTCAATTTGGACCCAACAAGGTGAGAAAGGAAGGAAATAGTGAATTCCGTCAACTGCAGCGAGTATTGCTGCTTAGCATTCGTTCAGCCAGAGCGACGCTGACTAGTCAGGTTCTCACCAGATTATTATAGCATTCTTTCTTTCCTGGGAGTCTGTAATAAAACTTACCTTATTGTTTATGAGTTTTAAACCTCTAAGAAGAAAAGCATAAGGAAAATGACTATGAAATTCCAAGACAAGACTAAAACAAATTCTGAACCTTCACTTTCTAGGAAACAGGGTGAAAAGATGCAAAGAGAAATCCTCTTTTCACACTGGCAGTCTTCATCTGCAATAGTAACTGGAATAAAAAGGCAATATATAATGTTTAGAGAACCTTAGCAATAGTCTTAAAAACTATTTTGCAAACTGGGTCGTATAGGTTGAGTTTTCAAATTCTCATCTCAACACAAAACTAAATGAATTCTAGTAATGAAGGTGACTGAAAGAAGAACAAACTTGTGTTTTAAAAAACAAAAATTGTTAAAACACCATCTGGGACAGAGTCTAATACGTCATCTGAGACAGACTTTTGAGAGTTAGTTCTGTCCTTCCTAGAGTTCCCATCGTCTTGTCTCCTCATTTGACCATTAGGGACTCTGACCCAGCGTTGCCCAGTCTGTTGAAGGTTCTACACTTGACCATGATAAAGCAAGGCAGGACCCACCATCTTTAAATTTTCAGCCTCTTTCTCTTTTCACCCAATGATAGAGATTCCAAGTAATAGATTAATAAAGACCCAAAGGTTGCAGGTATGGTATTAACACATCTCTTTTAAAATATGTGTTTCAGCTAGCTGCCCTTGAATTTCCTCCAAAGAAACTGTTTGGAAACAAGGATGAGCGTGTGATTGCTGAGAGGCGAAGTCACTTAGAGGTAACAGAATTAAGCTCTTCTTTCTCTGTGTGTTGGGAAAATTTGCCGTCTGATTGACCAGTAAGAACTATTTCTGCTAAATGCTATTTCGTTTTTGCACGAGTGTGAAGGTGCTGCTTCATTAATGCAGGAGATGGCAGCAGCAGATTTTAAAGATATGATATCAGTTTATTTGAAATATAAGTCCTTATCTCCCTCTGGTCTAGCGGAACATTTTTCTTATTTTTAAGAAGATACATTTATTCTAAGGGTTAGGAAGCAGGATGTGAGTGAGAACTAAATATTCACCATAGACAGATGGTATGTGATACAGGATGAGGGTACAAAGCTTGCTGCAAGAAAACTCGGAATTAATTAACTGAAGATTTACAGTGTTACATCATTGTTGCTTTTTCAAGATAGTTGGAAGCAAAAAGACAAATATCTATTTTAGTCATGGTTAGGTTTCATTTGACTTATTTTAACTTAATTTTCCAAGCCAGTTCTACATGTGGAATTCTGGTTTAGGGCCAATGCGCATTGTCAACTGCTTTATCTAGTTTGTGTTTGTTTTGGGGATATAGTTGTTTGTTTGTTTGTTTGTTTGTTTGTTTGTTTGTTTGTTTGTTTGGAATCTGATGCTGATGATTCTAAGTCCTTGTGCGAAGGCATAGACCAGTTCTTTTCTTGGAGAACAGTGGGAAGCAAAGTCACAGGTAGTCCTCAGCTGTTGGTCCCTGTCTTGCCACATGAGCCACTGAGGCAGACAAGGGACAATAGTACAAACAGCTCACTATAATCTAGTGGCAACAAGCTCTCAGGGGGCCTCTCAAAGTTCCCTTTGCTGCTGCTTTAAGAGGAATAATAATAATAACTATTGGAAACGAAATCAAATAAGGAAAGGCCTGAGAGAGCCCTTTCTGAGTTGTGAAGTGCTACATAAAAACTGTTATTCTCATTCCTAGTGACAGGCAGTTAAACATGGCTGCCCATGGGGTGCACTTTGTGCCAGTGAACCAAGGATTAGGGAAATATCTAGAAGCTGGAGGTTCCAGTGAGAGCAAAAGGGGAGAAGGGGAAGGACATGGAGAAACTGAAGACTAGGAGATTATTGTCCATGACAGGAGTTTTAGAGTTGACATCCTCAATATAGAACACTATGGGGAAGGACAGGTTTCAGGGTGTGGCCATGCTTATGCCTGAGGTACACTATAGAGTTACATGTTTAAAGAAGTCATTTACCCTACGATGTCGTGACCCTCATACCCAACTGAAGAATTTGCCTTTCAGGAAAAGATTATTGTGGTGAGCCTGTTTGATGAAATTCTCTCCAAGCTTTGATTGCATCAAACAAAAAAATTAAAAATGACTGCAGACCTAGTGATGTTTTTTTTTTTTACCTAACCCTTACCTGCCTCAGTTATCTAGACTTGTCTTTAATGAAAACACTGAGAATGATGATTTATACACTTGTCTTTATATACTAACAGGAGGTAGATCATTGTCATTCCTAGCTATTCAGGGCTCTGATCGAACTTACATGGTGGCCGGCTGTGCCATAACAGATTGTGCATATCTGCGCACAGCGCTGGGCACACTTGGTTTTCCATTCCAATGTGCAGAGATAGAGCAAAGTTCAGGGTACTCTTTCATTCTTGGTACTTTTCAGTGGAACCCATGTTTGCTCTTTCAGCATCTCCTACTTCATCACTTAAACTGTTGGTGAACAGAGTTTTACCTTACTGTTTCTGCCTATGCAAGGATCCTTTTCCTTGCCTGTGACTGTCATTTACTGGTGGCATTAGCCTTTATAGAACGTGTTCCACACATTCTGGAAATAAGCACTTACATTTTCGATTAAATGCATTTCACCTAATGTTGACTGTTAAATCTTAGAGCATTATCTTCTTTTTAAGGAGCAAACATAATTCACCTTCACTTTGATGGAAAATTAGTGTGAGATTCTTGCATTAATTCCCTGTGACTATTGTGACTTTTCTTTTGACCTTCTAACATCAGAAGTTACTGCTTGATTTAGTGTATTTTAATATGAAAATTAATGTAGTTATTTTCCCTGAATTTCCTGTTTGATTTAATTTAACATTTTTTTAAGTCCTAGTACATACTGGAGACAATGCTAAGTGTTCTATAAAAAGCAAAGATAAATGAGACATTTCTTTTCCTCTAAGAGTATATATTTAAGTTCCTATATGAACCTTTACCTGGAAGTATAATGTAAATACACAAGCACATACAGAAAAATGGATTCCAGTAGGGCACATCTGCACTAGCTAATACACATGATGTGAGCTTAAAAGGAATTATCTGACCAATTATTAGTATCCAGAAATGCAACTTTATAAACCTCCTCACCATGATAAAAAAGCAGTATTTTAAGCAAGCATTCAATTGTGGGGTTTGGGTTTGGGGGTGTTATTTGCCCCATATTTAAACAGAATCTTGCTCTGGTCACCAGGCTAGAGTTGCAGTGGCATCATCACAGCTCCCTATAACCTTGAACACCAAGGCTCAAGCGATCCTCCTGCCTCAGCCTCCCGAGTAGCTGGGACTGCAGGTGTGCACTACCACACCTGGCTAGTATTTTAATGTTTTGTAGAAATGGGATCTCTCTGTGTTGCCCAGGCTGGTCTCAAACTCTTGTATCCTCCCGCCTGGGTGTCCCAAAGTGCTGAGGTTAGAGGCACAAGCCACCGCGCCTGGCCTCAAGTGTGTTTTGATCTTCCTGACTATTAAAGTCTTTCCAAAACATGGACCTTACATTTGAGTTTATCAGCAAAATGTATAAAATGTTTTCACATTAAAGACATAGATACATTTTGGTACTTTTCAAGTTATAAACATTAAGGCTGTTAAAATAACTATTTTTAAAAATGGTGGGTAGGAACAGAAATTTCCAACTATTGTGATAAGTTTTAGAGATTAATTTTCCAACCTTGGAGGGAGGAATATTAGTTATGTGTCTGGTGGTTGTGGTAGTACTGATGTCAGAACTGGAACCTGTAGCATTTAACATATTGCACCATAAAAGGCAGGAGTAAGAATATGACAAGGGTAAGTGGAGGTGTATAAATTGGCTTTTAGGCGCTAACTTTTATTGATAAACTTGTACTGGCTTCACCCACACAGTTAACCTGGCCACCTCTGATTATAGCTGGAGCCAGTTTTTGCAGAGCCTGGCCTATAACTGCTTCACATCTCATGCTCAAATGCTCCCTAGCACTTTGGTTCACAAAGAGCTACAGAATCTTTGCAGATTTCTAACTTGGTGGATTTCCTCCTTGCTGCCTTCCTGGCGGAGCTGGAACACAGTCCGTGGAACTGTGTGTACCGTGAGCAGAGCCTGCCCTCAGGCAGGCAGAGGCTGCTGCTGACAACACGCCCCTATGTGCCATGCTTCCCGGGCTCCAGACAGCCCTTCCTGCAGCCCTCACAACTGCCCGGGAGACATATGCTGGCAGATAAAGCAGCAGAGGTAACAGAAGGAAGACACTCAGTCTCTGCTTCATAAGTTAGTTTGAGCAAAACGTGTTTTTTACTGTATTTGAAGCCAGATACCTTGACTATTAGGTTGAGCCATGAGAAACGGCCATTGTTATAGGTCAGAAATGCTGGATTATCAGCAATTTCATATGCTTCTACATAATGCCTGCTTTCTCACGTGTACCTGGTGTTTACAAAATGCCAAACATGGGTGGGAAATGCTTATAAGAAGTCGTTCACTCCTCACAGCCACTTATAAGGTGAATTCCATTATTATCTCTGGTTTTCAGGTGAGGGAATGTGTCTTTGGGTGGATAGGGAGGTTCATGGAGCTAGTAAGTGGCAGAACCTCAGTTCACACTCAGGTGTCTTTCAGAACAAGCCCCTTCTCTTAATCAGCAAGCTCTAAGTGTGAAACGCTGCTGGTTCTTAGTGTAAAGAAATGCCTTTTTTTTTTTTTTGAAAAAACATCATCTTCCAGCATTGTCATCACAGTGTTAACTAAGATCCACTGCCTAATTATTTATTCTTAAATACCATTCCATTTATTCAGCAATTATGGAGCATCTACTCTGTGCCAAACAGTGTTCTAGAACCGAAGAAACCCTAGTTAGCAATGCAGGCCCTTTTCCTCCTCTTTTGACTGACTGTGGCATTAGGATGGCATTTATTTATAATCTTTTACTTTTTTTGTTTGTTTAGGGAAAGATGTTTATTGTGATTGTTGATTTTAAATATTCACTACACGGGTAATAAAAGGTTCTGAATCTCAGTTGCTTACGGCATTGTTTATTTATGAGATGTCACATTGTTCTCATGCATATTTATTTTGAGAATATCTCAAATTCACCAAAGTATAAAAAAGGGCATCCTCATGAATTACTGAAAAATATAAACTCAGAATGTCTTTAAAGAAATTTTTATGACTTTAAATATTATATTTACTATATAAATATACATACTTATATATACACATATATAGTCTATTAATATGTATATATCCAAATGGATATCAAATTGAGCTCTAATAGATGTGATATATGGTATTTATTAACAATAGGCCTGAAAACATCTCAAGTTTTGAACCATGTGGCTCTAGAATATCATGTCAATGGTGAAGGACTAGTTACTTACATCCCCCCACTTGTATTTTTGTACATTGAATGACGATTACTAGAAAAATGAAATCAAAAGGATATACAAAAGACAAATGCAATTCTTTTTTTAGTATACATAGATTGAACAGACATAAAATTACTCTGTTAAATTGCAATAAAAGTGTCTAAAATACAGGCCATACTTGGCTAGACTATTCTGGAACATCCATGAAATCTCCCCTCCACTTTTTTAAGACTCCTGTCACTTTCTTGCTTATATCAAAAAGTGTTTATGTCTCAAATCTTCACTATTGTGCTAAGTACTTGAAAGCAGCAGAATCAACGTCTAATTCAATTCTTAATCTCCCGTGATACTTCACACGTACTTCACCTTTACTGAATCATCAGAAAATCTGCTCAAAT